CGGGAAGAGACTGGACAAAAATCCAACACCTATGGATGAGGACAGTGGTGGGTGGGTAAGGGCATGGGGTGAGGTGGGAACCGGGTGGAGGGGAGCTATTGGGGGGAAAAAGAGGAACAACTGTAATAATCTGAACAATAAAGACTTATTTAAAAAAAAAAAGAAATAAAGAGTGTAGAGGTTGGCAGGTGATTCAGACAGCAAGTTAAGCTGTACTTGGTTTGGGAGTCCCCTAAATAGAATGCAGGTAAAGAAGCAAATTTAGGAGAAATGAGGGATGGTAAGTTGCCCATAGTGCTATGGAGACCTGGGACCTGTAGCTGAAAAGGAGACCTTGAGCACTGGAGAGAGGCCAGATTGGCAGTAGAATTACAGAGACATTTGGAGAAGGTGATGGTTGAAATGTTTTTGCATCAGAGATCCACATTTTAATTAAACTTTTAGGAACCAGTCTGTAAGCTGTTTCTAGATCTGGAAATTGGTTTTTAGAATTCCTCTTCTGAAAATATTATGTAATTTTATTTCATTGTTTCCCATAGGAACTGAGGACAGAAGCAATTGCTAGACCTCTGGAAATAAACGAGACTGAAAAAGTGATGAGAATTGCAATAAAAGATATTTTGGTAAGGTTACTTTGCTTTTATGTAATGTTTTTGTGCCTTGCCTTAAAAATATTGATTTCTGCCTTGGCCAGTGTGGCTCGGTGATAAAGATCAGCCCGTGCACCGAAGGGTTGTGGGTTCGATTTCTGGTTCAGGGTACCTGGGTTGCAGTTATGATCTCCAGCCCCGGTTGGAAGGCAACCAATTGATGTGTCTCTGTGACATCAATGCTTTTCTCTCTCTCTCCCCTCCTTCTCTTCCACTCTCTCTAAAAATCAATAGGAGAAATATCCTTGGGTGAGGATTAATTGATTTCTTGCCTCCATAAGACAGAACAAAAAGCTAGCCCTAGTTACAAAGAAGGATATGTTAGTAAGGAAATGAAAAATTTAGAGAACATGCTAGAATATTTAGCTCACTTACTTTTCCCCCTTATTATAAATACAAACAACTCATGTTACTAAAAGTTTGTCAATTTTAATAGTTTAATAATTCTATTAAATTTTTCAATTATTTTAATAAATAATGCCCTATTTTATGGGCACTTCATACTTTATTTAACCAATTCCTCATTGCTGTGCCTTAAATAATTTCTAGATTTTCTTAATTCTATACAGTACTGTAATAAATAGCATGATCACTGATCAATTATTATTTGCTCATTCATTTGGAAGGTAGATAGTGGGGGACATTCTAGACTCAGACTATTTTGGGTTTGAATCCCACCATGTGATCTTAGGCAAGTTCTTTAACTTCTCTGTGCCTCACTTTCCTGATCTGTAAAATGGGGAGAATGGCCACACAGGATCCTTTGAGCATTCATTATAACTGTGTGTCATACACAGTCTCCGGCATAAAGCAGGTATTTGGTCATTATTAGGATTCATTTTATTCAGTAGACACAGGCAGGGATAGGCATAAAACGATTTGCTGAGAGTTGTACAACATTCTCAGATTGATAGGTTTTTATAAGACCCTGTTATAGCCCAGCTGGCGTGGCTCAGTGGTTGTGCATTGACCTATGAACCAGGAGATCGGGGGTTCGATTCCTGGTCAGGGTATATGCCTGGGTGGTGGGCTCGATCCCCATTGTGGGATGTGGAGGAGGCAGCCAATCAATGATTCTCTCATCATTGATGTTTCTCTCTCTCCCTCTTCCTTCCTCTCTGAAATCAATAAAAATATATTTAAAAAAAGAGACCCTGTTATAAAATGGTAATGCTGCCTGAGAGACCCAGCATGGGGCTCCAGAGCCTCAGCAGGGTAAGAAGGGGGACAAGAAGTGCAAGATCTTGTTGTGCCAGAAAGCAAGGAAGTGCTCCAAGAATGAAAGGGACCTGTCAGAAGGACACAGAGGCAGCTTGAGAAGCCTTCCCCTGGCCAAACTAGGGACAGTTTAAGACCAAAATAAATAATAGTATAGTAATGGATTATAGACCATTGAGTGAAATGGGAGATGATGGGTTCTCACTGATATAAAAAAAAATAAGCGAATATATTGACAGCTAATTTTTCACATAGTTTCAAAGTAGCTCGCCAGTCCTAGCCGGTTTGGTTCAGTGATTAGTTAGAACATTGGCCTGCGGATCAAAGGGCCATGGGTTCAATTCTAGTCAAGGGCACGTACCTTGGTTGCAGGTTCAGTCCCTGAACCTGGTCAAGGTGTGTGCAGGAGGCAACTGATGGATGTGTTTCTCTCACATTGATGTTTCCCTCTCTCTGTCTCTCCCCTCCCACTCTCTCTAAATATCAATGGAAACTATATCCTCTGGTATTAACAAAAAACAACAAAACACAAAGTAGCTCTCCACAAAATACAATTAATTACAAAGGGAAAAGAGTAATTTCACATGAGATTCCTGACAGACACCCCTTAAATCAAGTGATCAAAGTGAACACCACCAG